CTTTCAATGAACAGTTGTTCCTCTTTTTTCTTTCTTGAATATTTGTTCTAAATATAATTTGAAATATGGACATAAAAACATGATTTTCACTAAATTACCAGGTAGTCAAAGTGATATCAAATTTTTTTTCATTTCATCATAAGATGTAAGCTACTTGAACAAAAATTCATTAGAGTGAGGAAAATTTATTAGAGAGGAGCCCAACTGATGAAAAGGTGAGACCAACCCTTTTGTTCATTAATTAGGAACTCCCAGTAATTTCAATAGTCTCTTAGGAGACATCCTCAATAAATCAGTTATTGGTTAAATAATAAAATATTTAAATAAATATTACAATGTTGTTTTCTCTTTAAAGATTTTTTTTCGGTACTAGAGATTGAACTCAGGACCCCATGCTTGCCAGGCAAGAGCTTATTCTACTGAAATATCTCCCTGGACCCTTAAACATGGTTTTGATAAAAAACTAAATTTAAAAACAAAGGTTTTTACACTTGTATGGTAATTCATTATTGTTAATTTCAGAATATATTAAGTGTATTTATGATTCCAGGTGCACAGGTCTTTCAGAGATTTTTTCCTCATATTCAGATATATCCCTTTACTGAAAAACTTGTGATCTATAAGGATGACTAATAAGGTATAATTTTACATATAAAATAGAGATCTTCAGTTAACAGTATCAGATTATGTCAAATGAAAATTTATGTGTATCACAAAACGTCAATAGGATTGGCTTACTACAATGTATATGGTTTTGATTCCTAAATTTCTTTGTAAAAGTATGTAACTTTTTATCTGTTGACATTCTATAGGGACTTAAATATTAGAATATTCATAGGCAATTATAAAATGAGCTATTAGAAGTTTAAAGAAAGCGATCTTTAAGTGAAAATAGAAAAGGTATGAGAATACAAATGAATAAACCTAGATTAATTATAAAAAACGTTCTATTTATATTAAAATTTTTAAATCAACTGCTAGACAGATCTTCTTCTACAGACCATCATTGGACAAAAAAATACTGAAGAAGTTATTTGGGTGCCAAATGATGAGTTAAACCTTGAAAATGAGTAAACATAAATATTTTAATAGAAAAAATAGTACCAACTTTTTTTCTTGTTTACCATGCTGGCAAGTGTTTAAGGTAATTTTAATTATTGGGCTTACATTCCAAATCCACTACTCAATAGAGGAGTTCACTAATGTGATGCTATTATACCCATATATGTGAACAAAAGTTCCTGGTTACCTGGATCATATGATGCCCAGAGACTAGCAATGCCAGCAGAGAAAAGAGCAAGAATTCCATTCTATGAGATCACAATAAAAGGTTGATCTATTTGTATGGGCAGTAGATCTCATTTTTTTTTATTTGACTGATATTTATTTT